CTTGGCTCAGAAAAGCCTTTTGGCTGGCCTTTTGTTATTCTTGCCAAGCTAAGCTAATAACCTTGGAAACACAACACAAATGTTCTTTAAATAAATGTTAAGTTTGAATGCTTGGAGGAGGATCAAAGTCATCTTTAAAACGTGCGATCTTTGTGAAGACATGCTCATAAACTGAAAGGAGTAGTGCCTTTTCTCCAGTGACTATCCTCCCAGGAAGACTGAAGTCATTTCAATCTGTTTTACCTTCACCTTGGAAAAGGTACTTTTCCATGGAGCGAAGAAAAGATAAAGCAAATCCTGGCTGGTGTTAGATCTCCAGACTCCTCACCCTTTTCCCTGCAGCCACACCCTTGGCCCTGAGATGCTCAGATGATATAACTCTGCATCACATTGCCTCAAGTGCCCCAAAGCCAAAGAAGATGATGCAACATGGTTTAAACACTTGGTGATAGCTTTCCGGAGTTATGGAGGAATGGCAGCTACCAGAGCCTGCAGTCTGTCAGGAAAAGGCAGCTCTTGGAGGGAAAACGGGGGGTACACACCCAGACACTACTGCTCAGTTTAGTTGATTCTGCATTTAGTTCCAGCGTTATTGCCTTCCTCCATTTTTTTGTAAACAGTACTTTTGCAAGGCAAATTCCTCTTTAGGTGATATCGTGGTGTTGTCCCCATGGAGCAAGAGCTTCCCGGCTACAGGCTGCCAGAGCTTTCTAGAAACCAGTGGAACTTCTCCAGAAGAGGCCATGGCATTCCTTTCTCATTTTCTTCAACCAGAATACCCAAAGACATATGAATGTTTATCTTGTCTTTTGGGGGTTTACTCATAACTGTTTTGAACTTGGTGATACTTTAAAAGTGGCAGGTCAGGTGGAGATTTGTAGATGAAATCATGTCACCCTAATTCTGGAGAGACACCTTTCAAATCACACATGACAGTGGTTGGTCCTAGTGAGGGAGAAATGGAACATCAATTGTGTGGTTAGATTTCACTGCTTGCTTAGGAGCTTTGTGGCACTGTGCATGTAGCCTAGGCCATTGAGAAATGTCCCGATCATTTCCATCCCTGAAAGATAACTTTATACCCTTAGGTGCAATCACCCAATTCTGTATATACAGGCCACTCTGTTGTTCCCAGCCAGGTGCAGTGGCTCATGCCTGTAATCCTAGCACTTTGGGAGGCCAAAGCAGGCAGATCATCGGAGGTCAGGAGTTTGAGACCAGCCTGGCCAACATGGTGAAACCCCGTCTTACACAAAATATAAAAATTAGCTGAGGATGGTGGTGCATGGCTATAATCCCAGCTACTTGGGAGGCTGAGGCAGGAGAATCACTTAAACCTAGGAGGCAGAGGTTGCAGTGAACCAAGATCACACCACTGCACTCCAGCCTTGGTGACAGAGTTAGTCTCCATCTCAAAATAAAAATTTAAAAAAAGGTATATATATTGTTCCCAAAGATAATTTAACAAAGTCTGCTTATTTATATTATCTGGCTTTCACTTTAAGAGTCTATCATTACAGAGAGGTACATTTCTTCCCACGGGGTGTTTTAAAAAGTCCCAGGTGGGGCCCTGCTTCCATCAGGTGGGGAGAGAATTTTTGAAGAGTCACATGAGATTTATAGGCTGACTGCAAAAGTGAACTTCATGGTGTACTCTCATTTTCAGAATGTATGAAGGGGTGTTGTTATGCGAAGGTATATCTCAGCTTGACACAGCCCAAGCATCTCAAACCCCTCTCTGTGTCTCAGGGCATAGGAAAAGGACTGCAAACACTTATTGTTTGTTTACTTCCTACTTTATATGTTTACTTCCTACTTTATATGACACTTTGTAGGAAAAATTCAGTTTGATACTCTTTAGATTAAAATGTCCCAATTTGGGATGTAATTCAACAAAAGAGCTATGCACAGGAAAAGAAACTATAATCAGAGTAAACAGGCAACCAATAGAATGGGAAATTTTTGCAATCCATCCGTCTGACAAAGGGCTAATATCAAGAATCTACAAGGAACTTAAACAAATTTACAAGAAAAAAACAACCCCACCAAAAAGTGGGCAAAGGATATGAACAAATACTTCTCAAAAGAAGACATTTATGCGGCCAGCAAACATATGAAAAAGAAACTTACCATCACTGGCCATTGGAGAAATGCAAATCAGAACCACAAGATACATCTCACACTAGTTAGAATGGCGATCATTAAAAAGTCAGGCAACAACAGATGCTGGAGAGGATGTGGAGAAATAGGAATGCTTTTACACTGTTGGTGGTTGTACAAATTAGTTCAACCCTTGTGGAAGACAGTGTGGCAGTTCCTCAAGGATCTAGAACTAGTAATACCATTTGACCCAGAAATCCCATAACTGGGTATATATTCAAAGGATTATAAATCATTCTACCATAAAGAAACATGCACATGTATGTTTATTGCAGCACTACTCACAATAGCAAGGTCTTGGAACCAACCCAAACACCCATTGATGATAGGCTGGATAAAGAAAATGTGGCACATGTATACCATGGAATACTATGCAGTCATAAAAAAGGATGAGTTCATGTTCTTTGCAGAGACTTGGATGAAGCTGAAAACTATCATTCTCAGCAAACTAACACAGGAACAGAAAATGAAACACCGTATGTTCTCACTCATAAGTGGGAGTTGAACAATGAGACCACATGGACACAGGAGGGGGACATTACACACTGGAGCCTGTCGGGGGTTGGGTGGCTAGGGGAGGGATAGCATTAGGAGAAATAACTAATGTAGATGACAGGTTGATGGGTACAGCAAGCCACCACGGCACATGTATACCTATGTAACAAATCTGCATATTCTGCACATGTATCACAGAACTTATATTAAAAAAAAGTAATGAGAAAGTTAAAAGACAGCAAGACAAGTCCCCTAGAAATGAAATAAACCCATTTAGAAGACAAAAAATAAATAAATAAATAAAATGTCCCATTTCTGGGAGAATTTCCCCTTTATAGAAAGGGGCTGTTTGTGAACTCTCACTAGGTTAAATATACAGTTCACTCTCATAAACCAAACAGGACCATGTGGTAGGAGCTACATTCCTTCATCATGTAAGGGACATGGGTCCTAAAACACTGGAACAGCAATTGCATCTCTGTGGATTACCCATGTTAACAAATGGGGGAAGGAGAAGGGTGTTATTTTTTCCCAGATGCAGGAGTTGGGGAGAAGAGTCACTGGCGTTTATTAGACATAGTATGTCTTCATGCATCACATGCATTTTCTCATTGACCACTGAAAGCAGTCTCATGAGGAAAGAATTGTTATTTGTATTTCATGGAAGAGGAAACCAAGGCTTAAGTGGTTGGCAAGGGACACAAAGCTGGCAAGGAATCAGAGCTGTGTGCCCACTCATTGTGTTCCATGGTCCCTTGCTGGGCAGTTGGGGAATATAGAATATCAATCTTGTTGCATAGAAGCTTCTAGCAGCCTTCCAAGGTTTCCAAAGGACCATTTCTTATCTCCTGTTTCAGGAGGGAAGATTCCTGAACCCCTGCAAAGCAAACACTGCAGCTAGCTTACTGCCTGATTATAAGCCCAGTACACTTCCCAGGGTTTTTCTCTAAGAATCAGGGTGTGCTGTAATAAAGGGCCTTGTATCCACTGGACTCATAAAGATTTGCTGGAAGAATAAAGTCATTTGCCAGCTGATAACACCATTTCTCTGTTCATGAGTAAACTTTGGCAAAATCAAAATCACATGGAGGCCCAGGGGCACCAGCTCTTCCAAACAAATATCTTTTTCTAAGGAGTTGTGTTGTTGAGTATTTTCTCCCATGTTGTACACAAAGGAAACTACCCAGTGTTCCTTTGGCCAGGTAGTGATAAGCATTTTTATGAGGAGGTAGGATCCTCTCAGTGGGAAACAGCGAGCTGGCCTTTCCTTTGTTGTCTATCACAGCAAGTGAGTCGATCAACCCCCAACCCCTACCCTGCAGAATCCCCTCATGACTGGGGTATTTCAGGCAGGACTGCACCATCCCATCAGAGATTACTCTGAACACAACCATTTGTAGCTTGTAATTGTATTGCAGAGGGCAGGATTGGTCCTTTAGTGAAACCAAGCCACCACCATATTGAGAGAGAATACTTTCTTTTTTTAAAAAAATTTATATAGGATATCTGTTGCTCAGCCAGGAGTGCAGTGGCACTATCACAGCTCACTGCAGTTTTACCTTCCCCAGGCTCAGGTGATCCTCCCACTTAGGTCTCCCGAGTAGCTGGGACTACAGGCACACACCACCATCTCCGATTAAGTTTTGTATATTTTTGTAGAGACAGGGTCTTGCTATGTTGCCCAGGCTGGTCTCAAACTCTTGGCCTCAAGTGATCTGCCTGCCTCAGCTTTCCAAAGAGCTGGGATTATAGGAGTGAGCCACCGCACGTGGCCAACTATCTCTTACTAACAAAATTCTACTTTCATCTCCGTCACAAAATATGCATGCAACTATTCATAATGGCACTGTATTTCCACCTTGTAATCCCACTGGCTAACATGAATGATTGGATTATTTTCCTCAAGCCTCACTTTTCATTCTTGGCGTATAAAGTTTTGAAAATCATAATCCAGCTAGGCACAGTGGCTCACGCCTGTAATCTCAGCACTTTGTGGAGGGGAAGCAGGGCATCACTTGAGGCCAGGAGTTCAAGACAAGCTTGGGCAGCATATTGAGACCCCGTTTCTACAAAAAAATAGAAAAATTAGCTGGGAATGGTAGTATGTGCCTGTAGTCCCACCTACTCAGGAGGCTGAGGTGGGAGGATCGCTTGAGCCCAGTAGGAAGAAGCTTCAGTGATCTGAGATTGTGCCACTGCAACTCCAACCTGGTTGACAGAGCGACATGATGTCTCAAAACAAACAAACAAAAAAACTGTAAAATCTGATTCAACTGACCATATCTCTGCCTTTCCACAGCCATCCAAGCACGTAAGATAAAAGGACAGATAACAGGAAAAAGAAGTCAGGGGAGAAAGAATAAGGGAAGTGTTTATTGAGACTGAAATAGAACATTGTTCTCTTTTATGAGTTAACAGCACAGTATGTTAAGAGGCTGATTACAAACTGACTCCAAAATAAGGATAATTCGCAGCTCATGAACAGCTCTGTTAACTCTAGTGCCACTAGTTGGGGCAACCTAGTAAGGGATAGAACCATTCAGCCCAAGAGAAATTACTGATTCAACTTTATTTATATTTAGATTTATTTCCTATAAACAATACCAGTATTTGCATTTTAAAATTTACATTGAATCATTATTTACTATTTATGATGTTTACATAACAATTCAGTATCATTATGTTGTAGATTTCCGATGTAGGTGGTCAGTGCTGAGCACTTATTTACTCTTCTGCTATCTTTGGCACAATTTCTCGTTTCTTAAACATGAAAGCACAGGTTTAAGTTGGCTACACAATACTGCAGAAACATGACTACTTTGGATCTCTGTAAGTACAAGTTTATGTTAAGCATTATTTACAAGATGAGAACTGAGGCACAGACTTTAATAAACTATCTTCATAAATTAGCAGAATGATAAGCAGAGGGTATAATGAATAGGGCCAAGATTACTAGTTAGAACAGTCCTCCCTGGAGGAGGAGACAAGTGTCATAGAATGGAACTATTTACCCCGAACCAGTGATATCAGTTTATGTTGTGGGATTTACTCTGCAAGAACCCAGGTTAGGGGCAGCTCTTTTTCTGCAATGTGGCTTGTTCAACCCATGGAATTTTTATTAAAATACAACTTAGTTGGTAGCTTGCCACTCTTATTTGGGCCCTGAAAACAGAAGTGCAAGGATGGCAAAGTACTGGCCTCTTTGAGTGTGAATGAACTTGGAAGAATAAAGCCTTCCAGTTGGATAAAATCACATCCAACCTTTTGTGAGTGACACCTTTGTATATAATATTACGCAGAGTTGATATGGATTTCCTCTAGGCAGCTCATATCTGGAAGTTTTATATGAATGGCTATGCTACCTTAGAGTATCACAATAATACATCTCTGCTTTAGGGCCGATATACAGATGTGAAATGATTGAACAACATGATTTCTCTTCTAGTGCTCCTGAGAAAGGAGTTCTGATAAGCCCCAAAGGAGACCTGGGTTGGAATTGTAGTTATTATTCAAGTACAAGGAGAACTCTTTATTTCACATTGACAGTTCAATTCTGATCTCTGTCTGGCAAATTATATGAAAATAATAAATACACACACACACACACACACACACACATATATATACATATGTATCTATCTATCTATCTATCTATCTATATATATATATATATCTATGCTGAACACTGAATTAACAGTTACCAGTGTCCCAGTACAGTACATTGAAAAAACAATCCTTCTCCCTTCCCTCCAAACCCTATGCCTGCCTTAAAACTATTATTGCAGAACTGTGCTGGTCTGTTTTCTTTGAAATTGGCTGGAGATAAGTTGAAAATGGACATTTTGGCACATTAACTGGGTAGAAGTGGTTTAGATGCATTATAATTTATAAAAAAGTGAGAGGTCAAAGGAAATCCATGCCAATAGAAAGCCTGAGTAAGAATTTGTAACTGATGACAGAATATTTTTTAAAAAACCCAAAACAGTTGTCTGTGCATGAGAAAGCATTTTCTCTTTCATATCCATTACCTAATTCTAACAGTTATTACTTTATATACTTCCAAACTTTGTCTCTTATAGAATTTCTAAAACCCAGATAATAGAACTTTCCTTTTAATCAATTTTCCTTCATCTTACCCCACCCCCAAATCCTAAAACTTGGAAAGCAAAGCCTGAATCCAAATATAGAAAATAATCTGGAGGTCTGTATATCAAATCAAATGTACACTTGGCCATTGGTGTTTCTCTTTTTCTTAACCAGTGTTTGAGATGACTCTCATGGAGATGTCCTTCCTTGTTTCCAGTCATCTGCAGCCAGGGGCCCTAGAACTGTGAGGTCTGGGTGAATGAGATGGTATCAGACTTGTCTACTGCAAAGCCTCCATTGACATAGGACTTCTTGGTGTCTGAGTCTTCATTATCAAGGGTTGTGGATTCCAAGGCAAAGGGGTTCACAATGTTGACTTCAGATGAAACATCCATCTGCTCCAGCTCCTTCTTGGAGAGCTTTTCCACGATGCCTGTCCCGAAAGCATCGCCGAGGACATTGACCATGGTCCTGAACCGGTCCCTGGGGAGAGACAGGAGGAGTCAGACAGGAGGCCCAGATATTATTTTCCTTCATCATTGGAGAGATGGAAGGACCTGACGTGTTCAGTTTCAACTTAAGTAAATGCAGAAAGTGCTGTCCTCAATCTTTATTAAAATACAACTTAGTTTATTATTGTATTAAAATATAACTTAGACTGTAGGCTCCTCACAGGCCTGGGGTTTTTTATAAAGGCACAGCATGAGCTCCCCAAAAGTAACAAATGACTCCCCTGAGTCTCCCTAAATTCCCTCCTCTTCTCCCAAAGAAACATGAATAGAGTCTTTCCAGATATTTCGGGGGGACTGAGGGAGGTTCAGAATTCAGTAAGTTTTTCAGTTCTAACCCCTCTGTCTTGTGGTTTTCTAGATCCCAAAAGCCACTGTGGGAAATCATTGGGCTAAGGTCAGAGAACTTGGGTGTTTTGTGGGTAGTGTATGTGCCAAGTGCATGTGGGGTATGTGTGTGTTTGTTCAGGTCCATGGTGTACTTGTTTATTTACCAATTTAGGTCACTCTACTTATGAGCAAACCAGTAGGCATGGCACAGAGAACAGGGTCAGAAAACACAGGTCAGCCCAGGAATGGATTTCTCCATGAGTCACCCTTATCCAGTCTTAACTCCCAGACAGCCTGGAGAAGAGGCCAGTGGCAGGAAGACAGGTAGAGAAGGCCCACTGCAGAGGGGAGAATCCAGTTTGATACTGGTGCTTTGTTGATAGGAACAGCGTGCAGGGGGAATCTTGTGAAAACGACACCTGCAGAATAGAAAAGGCTGACAGTGCTTACCCATGGCCACCCTGGATGCCCTTCTCTTATTTACAACAAGGCCAGGGATTGAACTGGCCCTAGTGTCTTTTTATCCCATGTCTCCGATTGGAACTTTGACTCATCTGGGTATCTTGGCAATGAAGGTAACTGGTACCAAGAAGACTCAGGGAAAGGGGAAAAATGCAAATCAATAATTATCACTAGAAAGAACCAAATCTTTCCTCAATGACAGGATATCTTTGCAAGAAGGGTGCCACCTCATTTGGGCCTATAGCCCAACTAGCTGCTGAAGGGGTGCCCCATGGCACAGCTTTCAAGCCAGGTGCAGGGGCTTTTGCCTTCTGAAAGGTGAATCTGTGTTTTCAAGCCCTTCCCTTTCCATCTCATCTGCCACCTGCAAACTACAGTATATAGCACTGGATTCCCCAGTGAGCCTGAGCTGGTTCTGAGCAAAGGCTCTATGTGGAGCGACACTTACCTACAATGCCAGCGGACAGACCCAGACCTAGATGCTGCAAGATCCATGCACAGGAGTGGGCATCAAGGGTAAAGCTAGGAGTCAGACTGGTTCTAACTTTAACCTTGAGGGTCACTGAAGGTACGTTCTCACCCAGATGTTCTACTGTATTGTGTGTGTGCGTGTGCGTGCGCATGTCTGTGTGTGTATGATGTATGTGTGTGAATGAGAGACAGAGACAGAGAGACAGAGAGAAGTGTTGTTGATTAGGGCCTGAATAGTCCAACTCATTCTAATCATAACAATAAAACATGCCATTTATTGAGCACATATGGGCTGCCAGACACTGTTCTAGACACTCCATTCACATGAACTCACTCAGTCCTTAAAACAACCCAATGAGATAGGCAGACTTTTTCCCATCTCACAGATCATGCAGCTGAGCCTCAGGTTAAGGAACTTGCTCAAGGTCAAGAAGCTGGTAAGACACTGGATGGAGATTCAAACCCAAGTCAGTCTTACTCAAGCCTTTCCTCGTGCCACTGTCCCTGATGGTTCAGAAGATGCTTAGGGTAATGGACTGATTTTGAACTAGGTGGTTCTGAGCCCATGATGCTGAACCAAGGCTGTGCTAGGCCAGGATGGTCCCAGGGCCCTGCCTGGCTTCTTCAGCTTGTTCTTCTGTGTTTATCTTTGTCCCACACCCAGCTCCTAACCTTGAGCATTACCAGATATAATGAGCTAATGGAGCTCACTGGCTTTTTAAAATCACTGCTCCACGTTATGAGGAGTTAATTATTAATCACGTTATCAGATGCCCTGGTCAGAGGAAACAAAGCAGCAACAGGTGGCTCATTAGGTAATCCGAGGAGATAGTTGCAGAGCTCATGAGGCTAGGAAGCTCGTCTGCATATCCGGCTGAGGCAGTGCATTTATTCCAACTCACAGGAGCCAGTCGACAGCAATGATCAGGGTGACATCCTCGGCGGGCAGGCCCACGGCACTCAGCACAATCACCATGGTCACCAGGCCGGCCTGGGGCACGCCGGCAGCCCCGATGCTGGCAGCTGTGGCTGTAATACTGGAGAAACAAACCAGCAGGAAAGGAGTTAGACATTTACCTCTCCTGTTAAAGCCTCTGGCCTGAAATGGTTAGTCCCGCTTAGTCCCGATGGCTATTACTGCTGTGTCCTTAAATTGGGCAGTCAGAATCTGTGACCTGCTGAGTCCCAGCTCTGCCTCATTACAGGATGAGAGCTGTGGGATGGGGCTGAGAGGGGTATAATGCCATCTCCTTGCAGAGGGAGATATGGCACACCACTCTAATGTAAGGAAGAACTGCATAAGTAGCACCACAAAAAATTAGCAAGATAGATTTTCAAGAGGAAGGCAGGAGTTTACTAAATGAGGTATTAAGAGAAGGCTTTGTCTACTCATCTACGTATACATACACTCGTCCTAATTAAGTGCCAGGTACTTCTGCACCTGCCTTCCTACTCCTTTCTTCCATCTACTCAGCACCTAATAATTTACTGAGCACCTAATATACGGCAGGAATTTAAGTTGCCCTGAAGGATGGACAGAGGGACGGTGGTAGGGGCGGATGGGCAATGGCATTTCAGGTGAAGGCAAAGGAATGAGACAATGGTTAAGCAGGCTTTATGCACTCTCTTTACATCCCAGGACTCTACCTCTGGGAAATGCTCTTTAGGGCACTGAATTGAGAAATAGCTGACTCCTGTCCAAGGTACAAGCATTTACTCCTGACTGAGATGCACTTTGTGTGAAAGAAAGATCTGGAGGATGTGGAGAAAAAGGAACACTTTTACACTGTTGGTGGGAGTGTAAATTAGTTCAACCATTGTGGAAGACAGTGTGGCGATTCCTCAAGGCCTTAGAAATAGAAATTCCATTTGACCCAGCAATCCCATTACTAGGTATATATCCAAAGGACTATAAATCGTTCTACTATAAGGACACATGCACACGAATGTTCACTGCGGCACTGTTTACAATGGCAAAGACCTGGAATCAACCCAAATGCCCATTGATAATAGACTGGATTGGGAAAACGTGGCACATATACACCATGGAATATTACGCAGCAATCAGAAATGATGAGTTCGTGTCGTTTGTAGGGACATGGATGAATCTGGAGAACATCATCCTCAGCAAACTGACACAAGAAAAGAAAATGAAACACCGCATATTCTCACTCATAGGCGGGTGATGAAAAATGAGAACACATGGACACAGGGAGGGGAGTACTAAACACTGGGGTCTATAGGGCGGAAGAGGGGAGGGCCAGTGGGAGGGGGAGGTGGGGGGGGATAACCTGGGGAGAAATGCCAAATGTGGGTGAAGGGGAGAAAGGAAGCAAAACACACTGCCATGTGTGTACCTACGCAACTGTCTTGCATGCTCTGCTCATGTACCCCAAAACCTAAAATGCAATAAAAAAGAAAAAAAGAAAAAAAAAGAAAGATCTGGAATCCAGGAGAGGCAGCCAGATGAACTTTATTACCAGGTATTTAAAAAGATCCCGCTTGGTAAGATCAGGTGAGGCAGTAGATATTTTTCTGTTTGTAATGTGCAGTTTCTTTTTATCAGCAACATCTTTCTTATTTTAACCGTATCATTCTGAAGGAAGCAAGGACTCACCATGCCCTGAAAAGTCCCTGGACTTGGATAAGCTTGAGGCTACACCCATGATACTTTCTGGAGACAAGTCCTTGCCCTTGGGCCAAGGCCTCAACTGCTGCCTAGGTGCCACTGGGTTGAAAGGTGAAAATGTAAAAACTGCCAATTTAAATGGGAAGAATCCCTGATTCTATCCACAAATCCATATTCTTTGGGGTTAACAAAGTCTTAAGAGTTCTTAGGAGGCTGATTTTTCTGCCCATTCATCTGCCTACTGAGGTGTTGCAGAAAGCATTTGAGGGTACAGTCAAACACAGGCCAGATGTGACAAACATCTTTGACAAATGTGTTTTCATTCAGTGGTTTGACCACCAAATTACAGTAAATTAGAGATTTGTGTACCAATCACTCTAAAGGTTTCTGGCCTCTATAACCCTTCAGATCCCTTCTGACCTAAGTCCTCTTTGGAAGGCCCAAGTTTATTTTAATGCTGGTTCAAAAAATTTAAATGGAATGCATCAACAGGTTTTCTTTGTCAGCAGTGATTTGTGTCCATACCAACAGATCCCTCTTAGAAACCCTGATGTGTCACAGTTAACCATATCTCTATAGCCTGAGGCTGGGCTTGAAACTCAAAATTCATTTAGTCAAAGAAAACTCTGTCTTTGAGCCTTGATCTTGCTTGCTAGACTATGGCCATCTGACTGGCATTGGTCTGAAACTCAGGACTATAAACCTTTAGATGGGAGAAAATAATATAAAAAGCTATTCCTGCTGCTTGAACATATTCTACTTTGAGTTAGAGGATTTTTACAGAACTATCAGTGGTACAAAGTTGTTTCCTCACACTGAGGCCTAGTTTTAGGACAGACCATTGAACTTGGCTCTCTAAACGGGTTGAAGGATGGGTTGTAAATTGGAGGGAATACAGGTTTTGGTGTCAGGCACACCTGGGTGATATACTTTGGGCTCTATTGTTTTACTGATGGCATTTCTTTAGGGAAATTACTTCTCTGAATCTCAATTCCTTGCCTGTAAGATGGGAACATTATGTCTACTGCAAGCTGCTATGCAGATTAAATGAGGTTTATACACATAAGGTATCTGGTATAGCACCTGTATAGTAGATGCTTAAAAACATGCCATTTCCACGTGTATACTTATGTAACAAACCTGTACATTCTGCTCATGTATCCCAGAGCTTAAAGTAAAATAAAACAAAAAACAAAAAAAAAGATTGAAAACATGCCATTTCTGCTGCTGCTTCTGAAATAACAGCAGTGGCTGCTAATGCTTCTTCTACTGTCGCTGCCGCCGCTGGTATTATTACTACTGCTACTGCAGCAACCAAAGCAACGATTACAATGACAACTACCACTGCTATCACTACTGCTACTTTTTTTCTATCAGCCCTTCCCAGGCCCCAAATCTTATAATTATTTTTCTTCTTTATGATTTTTTTTTTCCAGAGACAAGGTCTCACTCTGTTACCCAGGCTGGAGTACAGTGGCATGATCACAGCTCACTGCAGCCTCTACCTACTGGACTCAAGCAATCTTCTTACCTCAGCTTCCTGAGTAGTTGGGACCACGGGTGTGCTCCACAATGCCTGGCTAATTTTTGTATTTTTTGTAGAGATACGGCTTCCTCGTGTTGCTCAGGCTGGTCTCAAACTCCTGGGCTCAAGTGATCTGCCTGCCTTGGCCTCCCAAAGTGCTGGTATTATAGGCATGAGCCACTGAGCCCTGCTGTATAATTCGCCTTACTTTTTCTTTTTTTTTTTTTGCCTAGACTAGAGTGCAGTCGTGCCATCTCAGTTCACTGCAACCTCTGCCTCCTGGACTCAAGTAATCCACCCACTTCAGCCTTCTCCTGAGTAGCTGAAATTACAGGCGTGGGCCAGCACACCTGGCTAATTTTTCTCTTTTAGAATGTTTTTGGTAAATATGGGGTTTTGTCATGTTGCCCACACTGGTCTCGAACTCCAGACTCAAGCGATTCACCCACTTAAGTCTCACAAAGTGCTGGGATTACAGGTGTGAGCGACTGCTCCTGGACCTAATTATCTTTATAAGACAATTCATCCAATTTCTTTTTGACATGCATACTCACACCAATTTTCAATCAGTTGTAGCCTTTGCATATTATGATAAAGCCACAACAGGGCATGTTTGGGGTAGATGGTACCTATGTTTCTTTGATGTCTAGTCCACAGAAACATACTTTGGGCCTAAAAACTATTAGCCAAATGAAATATAACTGTAACTCTCAAGTAAAACCAACTTTTATTATTTCCCAATTAGAACCAGCGACGATTTTTAATTTTAAGCCAATGATTACTTTGGGTTTCACAGTTGTTACAGGTTCTGGGCCAGTAGTTATCAGCAAATCTGATTCAAGAATACACCAGAGAGTAGGGAGAGAGCCTTTAATGTGAATTGACTATTTAGGCTCTAGACCCAGAGTTGATTCCTCTGGCAGTCAGGTTAAAAAAATGATTAGAAAGATTTAGAAAACTTATAACTAAAAAAGAGGCAGGGATTTCATCATAAAGTGGCAAATACAAAAGAATTGGCACCTCATACAATCACTCCTTGGAAATCAGTTCAGTGGAGAGTGGGTTCCATAGGCCAGGGTTAGGGAAGTGGGAAAAAACCCTTGGAAATGTAAAAGTAACAACTGTTGGAAGAACAGGGGTGGTTACGGAGCAGAAACTTTCTCAGGCATGATTCCAGATTTCAATTTTAACATACTCTCTGCTGTTATAATTACAGGACTTTACTCAATCTCTTTGGCACGGACTTCTTTAGCCACTAACACTTTTTATAGATTACACGGCATTGGGATAGTTTCCCAGCTGGTGTGCCAAATGGTGTATTTTGCACTTGTCTTTAGCCAACAGAAATACTTTGTGATTTAGGGGTGGGGAGGATTTAAAAAATGCATTGTATTAGAACATTGTTAGTTAACAAACTCTGACTTTATGCCTAGAATTTATGTCTAGGCTGGAAACACAAGAATGAATTGACTTAAAAAAGTTCAGATTCAACCTTGAGCAGGCCTAGGGACCCAGTTTAGTCTTAAACTTGCATTCTAAACTGAACAAAAGCCTCCAGGTTAACTCTAATCCCAGCCTATCACTCTAACACAACACTGTCCAAAACACCTTTTTGCAATGATGAAACTATTTTACGTTTGCACTATCTAATTCGGTGGGCCACATGCCTAGTGGTTACCATACTGTACAGTGCTGTCCTAGAGAAACAACTTTGGCAAAATCCACTAATGACAGTTCTGCCATCTACTTGGGCAGACAATTTCTGTCCTTATTTCGTTAAAATTATCTGCAGCATTTGACTCTGTGGACCATTTCACCTTTGAAAATCTCTCTTTTCTGCATTTCCATGATACCAAGGTTTACTGGCTCCCCTCCCATCTCTATCCTTCTTCCTTTCCCTCTCCCTCTTGGATTTTTCCCTTCTCTATCTGCTTCTAATATTAGGATTTTCCAAGCCTCAATCCTTAATCTCCTTCTCTTCTCTACAAACTCTCCCTACGTCATGCCATGCATACCAGGATATAGTTGTATTTAATCTTGGAAATGGACTTTGTAGATCAAGAAAAAGAATCCATCACTGGGACATTCTTGGTGTCCCTTCACAAACCATTTTTAGTGGAGGTAATCCCTATATCACCAATGACAATGAATGTGACACCACACCCCACCTGATGGTGATGATCTGTCCAATGCCCAAGTCCAGATCATTCAACTGTGCGATAAACACTGCTGCCACTGCTTCATAGAGCGCCGTCCCATCCATGTTGATTGTAGCACCAACGGGTAACACGAATCGAGTGATCCTCTTGTCCACTTGGTTCTTTTCTTCAGCACAGCGGAAGGTGACAGGCAGTGTTGCCGAGCTGTGTGATGAAAAGAGAAAGGAACTTAGGGCCTAGAATGCCAGTCTTCAGTCCCCACCTGAAGACATGCCTGTCTTCCAGAAAGGAAACAAAGGGTCCTTTTAGGTTATCTTGTTGAGAAAAGTAAAGAAAGCTACAAAACAAAACAAAAAGCAAAGGGTCCAAACTATGCTGGCCCTGTTGGCAGGTCCAGGAATCAGAAGGTGTTGTGTGCATTGCTGCTCCCAGTGACACCATAACCCTTCCCTGAGCTGCAGACCATGCTAAGAGGGCAGGAAATAAGCAACAGCATGAAGCAATGTATTCAGGGCCAGGGGCAGAAAATATGGAGGTCATTTCTCAAAGGCAGCTACAAAACCCGCGAACTGGAGTCTGTTTTGTGAAATGAGGTGAGAGTTGATAATGTTAGGTCTGGAGGCTTCTTCCCGAAACCCCTTGTCTGTTTACCTGGAAGAGATCATGAGAGCTGTCAGGAGAGCCTGGGCCATTCCCATGGCAAATCGGAAAGGATTCTTTCGTACGACTATGAAATATATCAGTGGGAGAATTACAATGGAGTGGATTGCAAGCCTGTAAACAAGAAAGATAATTTAAAGTTTCAAAGATAATACTACCTCCCCACACTTAATCCTTTTATCAAACAGCTTTTTAATTTATTAAACTATTCGACTTTCATAAGAAATGGGAGTAGGGCAGGAATATACATCCCCATTCCACATGAGGGTGTGGAGGCTCATTCAGCAAATGAAGCATCTTGTCAGAGTTAATGACAAAGCTAGTAGCTGAATCCAAATTTGAGGCTTCACAGAACAGAGTTATGTCATGCTGCCACACCCCTGTGTGTGCTATTCCTGCCACACGCACAAAAATGCCCTTTATTTCCTTCTGCTGCTGCTGAATTCTTCTCCTCTAAGACTCAGCTAGGCATCCCCCTTCCTCCAGGAAGCCTTCCCTCACTTCCCCAGGTAAGGCCCAGCCTTCCCTCCTTGGTGTCCGCTGTGTCACTACTACATTATACCTCATTATACCCCTCATCACAGGGCTGAGTCCTCACCCCCTCCATCCCCGTACCAAGCTGCCATCTTGCTGGTGGGGCCCACTGCCCAAGAAGGAAGTCAGAGTTTCAGTAAGGAAAGAAGTCTCAGCTCTTCCAGTCATATTTTAGGATGGACTTTCTTTTCTTTATTATTCCTGCCTTCTCAAACTGTTCCTTATTTCACATGGAAATACACAGGTCACATGAACTAGGGGGCTTAATATGAGCCTCATTTGGCAGATGGATATATATGTAACTGGCAACTTAGAGTTTACAGATCAGTTATGTGTGTTTGAAATAATAGGAAATGGTCGTCAAAAATATAGATCCTGGAGGTCTGGAGAGAGGATATTCTTGAGAGAGAGCTTGTAGCTAAAAACCATGAGGATTGACTTTTAGTTTTCTGTTAGACACCTAGCTGGGGTGAAAGAATAGAAACCGGCAGAACTCCATTATGAAATGGCTCAGCTCATACACTCCAGCCACATCACTGCTGAGAAACAATCCCTGGCACTGTCTGTTTCAGCAGCCCTGCAGCAGGGTGGCCTCCAGTGAGGTGGAGGTCCTGCCTCCCTTGGCACCATGGTCCTCACACTGTAGGGACCAAGGCTGCCTCTGTGTTGATCTGTGTTTTGGCAAACACAGATTAATAACTAAATTCTCTGTGCTGGAAATCTCCAGTGCGATCAAGTTCCAATAGATGAGTTGATTGCTCAAGTTGGGTGTTTGTAGGTATTGACTTGTGGGGTCAAATCAATGATATTTACTTGTTCCCTTGGTCTGTATTTCTTAGCATATGTGACATATTCTGTCCCTGGCTAGGTGTCCAGGGGCATCATTCATAACTTACCACATCTTTTCTCAAGGAAACAATAGCTAGGCTGCAATAAATATGCAAACAACCCATTCCCTCTGCCTTCCTGTTTAATTGCTTCTATAAAGGCCCATGTAATTCCTCCCAGCCTTGAGATTCTCCTGGCACCATCTCTGACATTCTGATGGTGTAAGCCATGGTGGTGGTTAACAGCCCCAGCGACAGTGTTGGAATGAACAGCCATCTGGCTCCTACTTGCTCAAGTCTGACTTCATTCAGGCCCTTGCTAATTTCTTTCAGGTTCAGGGTACATGGAGGCTATTCTTACTTACTTAGCTAGTTTACATTCTTAAGGAAATGAAGGCCAGGGGAGAGCCAAGAGAGGCTACAAATGGGTTTCTCTCTTATTTAAAAAATTGTTTTAACATAACCAATAAAGGCAGTGACAAAGCCTGGTCCAGGCTGTTCTGCCAAGAGCTGACAATTAGCGCAGCATGATCCACCTACAGTATGGCTGTTAAAGGGCAGCCTTCTTCCTGCTCTCTTATCTCTGAACCCTATCTTTCCCAGCACATAGGAGAGAAGCCAGTTTTAACCAACTAAAACCCAGCCTCTCAGTGGCCATCCTATTGGATCAAAGGAGCTTTCTCTCTCCTCACTTGAGTCTGACATACCCAGTCAGGACTGTAGCCATGTAGAGGCCCAGCTTGCGGAATATTTCCCAGTCTTCAACTTCTATGATCTTCCCGGCAATCAGGAACAAAATACCTAGTGGCATGTAACTGGAAAGGAAGCACAACAGGGCGTGATTCCGTCATCAAGCGTCTTCTCATGCTGGGTTGGTGGGGAAGGAACATGCCAGAGTGTACACCCCCAGCTGGCCATGAGCACAGGATGCAGAATTGAAGCTAAGAGCTGTTTCAAGTCCTGGGTGAACTATATTGGCTCTAGTTTTTAGTACCTGTGTGCACCTTAAATTCTACCCATCCAAACTACCATAGGGTAGTTTGCAAACTTGGCAAGAACATGTGGGTAGATGGGTGCACACCTCATGCCGTGTTCCTAGTGCATATATATCCTGCTGATTGTCGTATCTGCAGCTCTCACTTGAGCTTGATCCTTACTGCCAAATATGGCTCTTTCTAGCCATGGTCATCTCTCGTTTCCCATGTATCAGCAATGGAGGCAATAGTATTAGTAATGGAAGTGGTCATAATAGCTCTATTTGTGGAGCTCTCATTACATCTTGTGTTAGGAAAAGTATTTTATGTGCATCATTTCATTTGATTTACTTCTATCCCTGGGTGTAGGTTTTATTGTCCTTTTTAACAGATGATGAAGCTGAGGTTTCTGCAGTATTAAGTGCCCTGTCTGGCCGTTTTTACTGAACCCTTTACGTCACTGTCAGTGCCTACACTTTGGATTAAGTAATGTTGAATCAATTAAATATGAGGTAAGTGAGGCAGATGCCTCCTAAGAAAGGCGGGCTTTTTGGCATCTCCAGGAATAAGGCAGACATTTACACAGTGTCACTGGTATGCCCACAAATTGGCATGGGTTAGTGCCCATGCTGTACCAGTTATAAATATTTTGAAACTCACTTTTGCATGGGGCATAATAGGGAAAGCACTTTGTGTTCTTATGTACAATGAACTCCTTCAGATCATTTTTTAAAGAATTACTTCTTACATGAAGGCTGGTTGGGTGCATGATCCCCCAAGGCTTTGAGGGAAAGACAATGGTTGAAAGCTAGACTTTTATTCATGTACTCCTGTGTAATAATGTGAAATTATTTAATACTCAGGTGGTGGCTGGGTATAAAGGTTCATGCCTGTAATCCCAGCACTTTGGGAGGATGAAGTGAGTGGATTGCTTGAGCCCAGGACTTGGAGATCAGCCTGGGCAACATGGCAAAACCCTGTCTCTACAAAAACACAAAAAAATAGCTGGGCATAGTGGTGCATGCCTGTAGTACCAACTACTCAGGAAGCTAAGATGGGAGGATGACTTGAACACAGGAAGTAGATGCTGCAGTGAGTTGAGATTGCACCACTGCACCCCAGCCTGGGGTGACAGAGTGAGACCCCGTCTCAAAAACAGAAAGAAACAACAAAAGCCCCCACAAAATACACTGGTGACTTCTCTAGCATGAGGTCACTGAGAAACGTAAACCTCTTCTTTCTAATTTTGAGGAGAGAGAATTGTCAGGGGAAGCAAAATGATATTAAACAGTGTCTGCTCACCACATGATGATCTGAACGATTTTCATGGTTGCATCACTCAAAGCATTGAAGAAATCAATCAGAATCTGTCCCTTTTCTCCCATTTTTCCAATGACAAGTCCAAAGACAAGGCAAAAGACAATCAAGCCCAGGACATTTATGCCATCTGAATACATGCCAACGATTTTATATTCCTTTGTTTTGTTCTGTAGATCAAAACCAAGAAAACATAATGATGCATGATTATAATCTTGTTAGAAAGTACAGGTCCTGAAATGAGAAGATACAATGAACAAACATAATAAACTGGTGGTCTCCCAGGGAGAATCAACAAAATTTTAGAAAATATAAAAACAATAATAAAAACACTTATGCATGTAACAAACTTTACCCTTGCTCCCTGAAGTTAAAATGCTTTTTCTTCTCTCAACAAGTTCATATTTGAATATTTCTTATAAAGATTTCCTATTCTGGAATGGTTTACATTTTTATTATGAATTTTAGAATCAGGGCACTTTTCAGGGTCATTTTAACTACTAGCTATATATGGAGTCTGCTTGAAAAAAGACAGGAATTAATAATGTAGGAAGTACAAAGTATTTACCAGTGTGAACACTTTTAGGACATCTTACCATCTGTTTTACCCTGGTAATGAAGCACAGTAACATTCTTTATGCCCGTGGTCTTGGATGACCAATAGAATGTTTTTTTTTTTTTAGACTTGCTCTGTCAGGCTGGAGTGCAGTGGCATGATCTCAGCTCACTGCAACCTCTGCCTCCCAGGTTCAAGCAATTCTCCTGCCTCATCCTATCGAGTAGCTGGGATTACAGGCACCTGTCACCATGCCTGGCCAATTTTTTGTATTTTTGGTAGAGGCAGGGTTTGCCATGTTGGCCAGGCTAGTCGTGATCCGCCTGCCTCAGCCTTCAAAAGTGCTGGGATTACAGGTATGAGCCACCGCGCCCTGCCAGGATTTTTTTAAACTTTTATATTTAGGGGTACATGTGGTGCAGGATGTGAAGGTTTGTTACACAGGTAAATGTGTGTCATGGGGGTTTGTTGTACAGATTATTTCATCACATAGGTATTAAGCCTAGTATCCATTAGCTATTTTTCCTGATCCACTCCCTCCTCCTACCCTTCACCCTCCAAAAGGCCCCAGTGTGTGTTGTTCCCCTCTATGTGTTCTCATCATTTAGCTCCTGCTTATAAGTAAGAACAAGTGGTATTTTGTTTTCTGTGCCTGTGTTAGCTGGCTGAGGATAATGGCCTCCAGCTCCATCCATGTCGCTGCACAGGACATGATCTTGTTCTTTTTTAATGGCAGCATAGTATTCCATGGTGCATATCTTTAACCAGTCTATCATTGGTATGATTTTAGACATATAAAAATTAATCTAAATTCCTACTACTGTGATATGATCATAGCTCACTGTAGCCTCAAATTCCTCAAGGGAGGGCTCAGGTGATCCTCCCACCTCTGATTCTCCCACTTCAGCCTCCCAAGTAGCTGGGTCCACAGGTGCATGCCACCATGCCTGGCTTAATTTCTTCACTTTATCCTGGGTAAAAGCCTGAGATTTACAGAGAGACAACTGAGTGGTGCCAACTAGGTTTATAAAGAATTATGTTGGCCAGGCACGGTGGCTCATGTCTGTAATACCAGCAGTTTGGAAAGCTAAGGCAGGTGGATCACCTGAGGTTAGGAGTTCGAGACCAACCTGGCCAACATGGTGAAACCCGGTCTCTACTAAAAATACAAAAATTAGCCAGGAATGATAGCAGGTGCCTGTAATCCCAGCTACTTGGGAGGCTGAGGCAGGAGAATTGCTTGAACCCAGAAGGTAGAGACTGCAGTGAGCCAAGACTGTACCACTTCACTTCAGCCTGGGTGATAGAGTGATACTCCATTTCAAAAATAAAATAAAATTATGTTGAGGAGCCACTGGGCTGCCAGTCATTTCTTATGATCAAACATATATTTAGGGAAAAGCTAGAGCATTACTACACTGGCTACAGCATAAGGTCTTAGGATTCAGTTGGAGAAACAAGACTGTGAGAAGCATGAGCCAATCACAGCAGGATGGTATGTAATTAATTATGCAACCAAACTATGAGATACAAGCATCAAATGGAGAGTGGGACATGAATGAGGGTTTCGAGATTAGGGAAAGCTAGGGCTGAGGAGTCAGCAGCCAGGAGAAAAAGCATATTTCAGAAAAATGGCAAGCAAAGGCAAAAATCATCATGCATTGGGCCTTTGCACCCTGCTTGAATATAATTATTGCGAATTCATCATGGCCCCCAGATTAATTTAACACCCCTTGCTGAATGCCCCCAAAACATCCCATTCTTCCTGATTATAATACTCATCATTCTTTGCATGAGGACAGAGACCTGACATCTGTCTTTTCACTGTTATAATCCCAGTGCCTAGCAGGGCCTGGTGTATGGAGGGTGCTCAGAGAGTATTTGTGGAACAACATCAAAAGGCAGGAATAAGGAGTGATGGAGGCAGTGGATCTGGAAAGAAGAGAGGTGCCCACTAGAGGTAAGTCCTGAAAACTAGAGAGGAGCCAGGTCATGCGGGGCCTCTGAACCCAGCCAGAGGAGTTAGGGATTCCTGCAGTAGGAAGCAGGGAGCCAACCGTGGTTTATTGAGTTTGAATTTTTTTTTTTTTGAGATGGAGTTTTGCTCTTGTTACCCAGGCTGGAGTGCAATGGTGAGATCTCGGCTCACCACAACCTCTGCCTCCTGGGTTCAAGCAATTCTCCGGCCTCAGCCTCCTGAGTAGCTATAAAGTCCCCATGAACACTGAATTAGCAAATACTGAACTCTTGCCCCTGAGGGAAATGCAGGGTTAACTTTCTGGGAACCTTGGACACATCCGTTTCAGCAAACAATCAATATATAACATTGTTGTATGTGTTTCTGTTTAAAGACACCTTGTTTCATATAGATTGTTGACTTATTAATATTGACCTCATAGCCAACAGACTATAACTCATGTCTGAATGAAGCTTGTCTAAAGCACCAATTTTCTCCCTAAGGCACATCACAGTCTCCTTGTGCTTAGCAACATTGGAGAGCACTTCAGCATGATGATTTGGTCCTTCTTTTTTTTTTGAGACAAGAGTCTTGCTCTCTCACCCAGGCTGTGGTGCAGTCACAGCTCAAATGATCCTTCTGACTCAGCCTCCCAAGTATCTGGGACTATAGGCATGTGCCACCACACCTGGCTAATATTAAAATGTTTTTTAGAGAAAGGGTCTCACTATATTTCCCAGGCTGGTCTCAAACTCCTGGCCTCAAATGATCCACCTGCCTTGTCCTCCCAAAGTGCTGGAATCACAGGTGTGAGACGCCATGCCCAGCCTGGTCCATCTGGTTCATTTTATTCTTTTTTTTGACACAGGGTCTCACTCTGCCACCCAGGCTGGAGTGCAGTCATTAATCATGCTCACTTGACTTCCCTGGCACAAGCAATCCTCCCACTTCAGCTTCCCAAGTAGTTGGGAGTATAGGTGTGCACCATCACACCTGCCTATTTTTCTTTTTTTGTGGAAGTGAAATGTCATTATGTTGCCCAGACTGGTCTGGAACTCCTGGGCTCAAGTGATCCTCCCATCTTGGCATCCCAACATGCAGGGATTATAGGCATGAGTCACTGAACTGAGCCCTGGTCCATTCTGAACAGTGAAAGCAGCAAGAAAAATCACAAAAATGCAAAAAATGTGACATGAACACACTGCAGAATGGACACTGTTTCCAGTATGAGAACCAAAGCAAGGCAGAGCCCAGCCTCATTCAACCTCAGCTGGGAATGTGCCTGTTGGGTGACTCAAATATTTTGCCGCTATTTGTGTGCCTGCAGATTACTGAAAGCCCTGTAAGGATGGGTTTTGGGATCAGAAATAAATTTTAGCAAGTAGGTGAATTCACAAGTGCAGATATTATGAATGATATGGATTGACTATATTTCCTGCTCAGTTATGACTCAGTGCCTGCCTCCTGGGGAAGAACAACAGGAAACAAGAATGGTACCTTGGAAATAGCAGTTGTCATGACGGCTGTGAAGGACTGTTCTGTCATGTTCGTATCTGGGTCGCTGGGAGGCTTCACTTCTTCACGCTTAGTTTTGTACTGCATGTTGGAGAAAATCAAGGACAAGCAAACAAAAAAAGACTCTTTTAAGCTTTTGAGACCAAATCACAGGGACATGTTATTTTGGCCAAACATGAGCCACTGAAGAGATCTACCTCCCATGCCTCTTTTGGCTCCAGTTGTCAATGATCCCTCCCATCACATTTTGGAACTAAAAGCAGGACTGAGACATTTAAACTCCTGACTCCCACAATCCCATTCAATTATGTCAAAATGTTCCTTCACTTTCACAGTAAGTGACAAGTTGATGGAGCAATAATACAAAAGAGAGTACTGGCTAGATCTGCAGGTGCTTTCAGAGACAGACTCTGTAAGGATTCCTGTCAATCATTTTTGTTTTTATTAATTCATAAATTATTTAATATTTATTATTTTAAATTAATAAAATATTTTAAATATGAGCAAAAACACTTCACCACTTTGATAACATCACCACAACTTTAATAAGTGTCAAGAAAGGTTTAATGATATGGGTTGTTTCAAAATCAACAGTCCCCCTAGGGCTATTCAGTGAGTGAGACTGCTGTTGAATTCTCTTATTTCAGCCCTGTTTGGTTCTGTGGAGCTTCCACATGGGAGTTTAAGAAAGAGTGAGTATATTATTAAACCAGGGATAAATGTCCCCCCACAAGGCTCTGCCAACACCGAGAACCTTACAAACAACCACTGTGACTGATCTGCAAGGCCTCCCTGCAATAGAGGAGGTTCTGTTCCTTGTGGAGGCCAGCAGGGAGCAAAAGAATTGCCATTTTTGTTGGTATATACAGAAGTCTCTGTTAATGCAATTTATGTAAATGAATACAGCACTTTGTGATGGACTCAGCTGTCTTAAAGCACACAGATAAATAGGAGGGAAAGGCTTGAAGTAAATGGATTGAAGAGATTGTTCAATTTTCCTAGAGAAAAAAAAATCATGGCTTTGTTACACTGCTCTGTAGAGCTCCAGCAATGGGGATGAAATGATTTTTTATTTTATTATTTCTTTTTAGAGACATGGTCTTGCCATGTTGCCCAGGCTGGTATGGAACTCCTGAGCTCAAGAGATCTGCCCACCTTGACCTCCCAAAGTGCTGGGATGACAGGTTTAAGCTTCTATGCCTGTGTGGGACACAATGATTAAGGAGAAGACTGAACCCAGACGTGGACCACACCATGAAGGTTAGATTCTGGGTTCTGATACCAGAGGAAAAGGAAAGAGGAGATAGAGAGCTACCTTTTTTTTCTGCAGACAGTTTAAATTTCCATACAAATATATCATGGTTCTCTAAAAGTAGGTACTGGAGGCCACATTTTAAAATACTCATTATTTGACAGATTTCTGACTTGTACTATTTGAGCCTTTTTGGGGTAAAAAGCATAAAGGAAAAGGAAGCAGAGTAAATTGTGACATGCACCTTACTGTGAGCCAGCAAGGCTGGACACAAAACAGAGACATCACCTTAAACTCTGCCAGTCACAGGTGTACTTCCTGCTGCCATTTTCATCAGGCTTATTCCATTTCTTGGGAAAAAAAATCTCTTAATTAATAACGGGAAGCAGAAAAAAATCTCTTAATTAATAACTGGAAGAGAGTAGCAACTTAAGGGCACAAGTAATCAATATTACCTGCTGAAAACAGGCCTGGACAAGATTCTCAGGGAACATATTCCTGTTGGAGACATGAAAGGCAGTATTATGTAGGGCAAACAGTCTTGTTTTGTCATACCTAATATATTGGTGGAAATGAGTATAATATAATATTAACACTCTGGTTTCTCTTCTGGCCTCTCCTTTTCCTAATACTTCCTTGTTTTGAGATTTCTTTTTTCCTGCTGTACTTCACTCAAGTATAGAGAGCTCTTCTAATCAGCCATAGAGGAGGTTGTATAGAAAGCTCTCCCAATCAACCGTCACTTAACTGATTCACTGAGTAACTGACATGCTTGCTTTCCTTGGTGAAATGGACACTCACAGTTAAGAGACTATTTGTTCTTTAATATTCTGAACATTTCTGTTTTCATCATCGAGGATGTATGCTTATTGATATGATTTGGCTCTGTGTCCCCACCCACATCTCAGGTCAAATTGTAATCCCCACAAGCCAGGGGAAGGGCCTCATGGGAGATGATTGGATCGTGGAGGGCAGTTTCTCCCATGATATTCTCATGATCATGATTGAGTTCTCATGAGATCTGGTTGTTGAAACTGTGTGGCACTTCTTCCTTCACCTCATTCTCTCTCCGGCAGCCATGTAAGATGTGCCTTGCTTCCCCTTTGCCGTCTGCCATGATTGTAAGTTTCTTGGGGCCTCCCCAGCCATGTGGAACTATAAGTCAATTAAATCTCTTTTCTATATAAATTACCAAGTCCCAGGTAGTTCTTTATAGCAGTGTGAAAACAGACTAATACACTTACCAAGAGTTCATTGTATTTGTTCCCAAATTCTTTATACAAGTTGCAAATATAATCATAATTACTGAATTACATATTATATCAACCAATAAAATATGAATATAAAATGAAAGGTATGGTTTCTGAAACTCTAAGCTGCATGCCTGGAAACTCAATAAAAGCCAGTGACTAATATGTTTATGGTTAGATTAGTTATGGGGAGACTATAGAAATAAAAAGAAAAACTGGAAAGATTTACACTCAGCTTTCTTTGCAATGTCTAAACGTTTTGGTGCTCTCTTCTATAGAAACTTTATCTGGAAATTGCAGATGATGCATTTATTAGGGCTGCATATGCAACAGAAATTGTATGAAATTACCATGAGCTGACAAACTTGAAGAAAAGACCTTGGCCTTATGTCAAAAAATTGGTGAATAAATTCATTAAGTTTTAAGTGAAAGCAAAATATGTAACATGTATCTTATATCATTTTTTATGAGACTCTGCTTTAACTGGCATTTTTTTATTGACTGACCTATTTACAGCTCTGGTTGCTCTAGATAAAAAGGTTTCTTCTGTACAATTTAAAAATGTATTTTTCTAAGGGTGCTCCAGAACTGACTACCAATCCATCCCAGCATCTCTCTGCAACATGCATCTGCATCTCTATTGATTCTAAATCCTGACGCAGAAGCCTGTTTCTGTCCTTCCCTCTTGGAACCAAAACTTGGCAAGTGGTATTGGCTATGTAATTTGTGGGTTCCTGGGCAAAATGAAAATACAAAATAATTCAAAAATTATTAAAAATTTCAATATAGGAACAGCAGAACATTAAATCACGCACAAAGCCTTGTGCTACTATAGGGTTGCAGGCCCTTGAAGCCACCTTGTGGCAAGAAACTTACCTGATGAGGTCTAACATGGCATCTACTGTACTGACTTCAGGGGTGCTGCCTGTCCTCTCGATTTCAGTCACCTTCTGGGTGACACCAGGCTTGATGCTCACCACCAGCACAATACCTGTGGCCAAGGACAGTGTCCACAGAGCGTTAGGAAACTTCCAGGGCACTTGGCACACCTAGCACCTTTAGAACAGTGGGCATGGTTGTACCAGACAATACTGTGATGGGGAAGACCCTGAGGTCCAGCTAAAATGCTGAAAATGCTGAGCCTCCTCTGGAACCTCAGCAGCTACCTTAATTACTCTTCCATTTAAATGAGTAAACAGAAAGAACTCCGTGTGTGTGTGTGTGTGTGTGTGTGTGTGTGCGTGCGCACACACATGCTTCTGGAAACACCTGCTGATGAGAATATTCTATTTCTTGAACTTATGAGATCAGTCTAGGAAGGTGTTAGGGTAGGGATGATCCATTTTCCAGCCCAGAGAATGCATTGATGTCTTTCTGCAACTTTTATCCACACATGCTACAAAACAAGCCTTGCCTTCCTTCCATACAATAGGTCTTCAAGTATCTAGAAAGCAGCCATGTGGGAAAATGTTCCAGAGATTGAATGAGGAAAAATAGATGGAAGTTATAGGGAGAGAAGGTTCATCTCTTTGTAAGGAAGAACTGTCTACATGACAGAACATCTGACAGCACCATTGTGGCCGTGGGAAGTAATGGGTTCCTGTCACTTGAGTGTCCAAGCCAAGGTGGGAGGAAAAGAGACCAAAGCATTGGAGGGTGTTTGACTGGAGGGAAGTGAAGAAGAAAAAGGACCTCATGTTCTTTATTGCTCCTCCCTCAAGAGGAGGCAATGCTAATCCAAGGGGTATAGGGCTCTGGGATGCTGAATGGGTCCATTTTGCTAGTGGGAGGAGTCACAGGGCAGTAAGGGACCATGAGTGGGCATGGCCCACTCTTTTCCTCTCTCAGGGTTCTAGAAGGGATGTACACCTCCAGCTAATAGGAGAGCAGTATATCGCTTCTTAATGCTACTTTTTCTCTGTGTCTGTCTTCCTCAGCAAACTCATGAGATGATGTGATTTTGTTTTATGGCAGAGTTCAGGCCCTCCTGGGTCCTTTGGCCTAATACCACTAAAGCCTCACCACATCCCACCCCTTCTTATCAGCTCATTAAAGCAGAGCTACAAGGGCCAAGCTGCTGCCACATCTGAGTACATGCTCTTTCTGTCTTCCCATTCTGGGCATTCTTCTTAAAATGTCACACAGAGCTACAAAGACTAAGCATTCTTCAAGACACCATGCTAAACGTATAAGAACAGCTGCTCCTTATTAGAATTTTGTCCCTCTTACAAGTGGGGTTTATCCTTAGCAAGCCCCTATTAGCTGTTAGCTCTTGTTACTGTGTGAAATGCACTAAAATGCTATATTTCTGGAAATGTTTTATAAGTATACTCAAGTCCACTATTAGAGAGTAATTATCCACTTTAAGAATTATATAAATGGCCAGGTGCAGTGACTCACACCTGTAATCCCAGTACTTTGGGAGGCCAAGGTGGGAGGATCACCTGAGGTCAGGGATTCAAGAACAGCCTCGCCAACATGGCAAAACCCCGTCTCTACTGAAAAAAATACAAAAATTAGCTGGGCATGGTGATGTGCACCTGTAATCCCAGCTGCTCGGGAGGCTGAGGCAGGAGAATCGTCTGAACCCAGGAGGCAGAGGTTGCAGTGAGCTGAGATCGTGCCATTGTACTACAGCCTGGGTGATGAGAGTGAGACTCAGTCTCGAAAAAAAAAAAAAAAAGAACTATACAAGTGCTTGGCTTCCTTTCCTTCTACCTAGTGATCCTGACAAGGCATAAGGCATAGACCTGTTACCCTCTTTCTGTTTTTCACTTGAAACTTTTATAAGTAGCACCATGGCTCAAATATAGCCAGCATTATATTCATCACATGAAAGAAACCATGCAGACAGACTTCAAAGGAAAAAGCTTCATGGTACTTTGACAGTACTACTTTCTGATATAAAAAAATTATGTGTTAGAAAAAGCCCAACTACTTTTTAAAAAATATATTTTTCTAAATTATAAGGAGATTTGGGGGTCTTGCTATGTTGCCCAGGTGGGTCTTGAACTTGGGGATCTGCCTGCCTCAGCCTCCCAAAGTGCTGGGATTATAGGCATGAGCCACTGTGTCCAGCCCTAACTACTTTTTTTTTTTTTTTTTTTTTTTGAGAGGGAGTCTCACTCTGTCACCCAGGCTGGAGTGCAGTGGTGTGATCTCAGCTCACTGAACCTCTGCCTCCCAGGTTCAAGCGATTCTCCTGCCTCAGACTCCCAAGTAGCTGGGACTACAGGCACACACCACCATGCCCAGCTAATATTTTTGTATTTTTAGTAGAGACAGCTTTTCACCATGTTGGCAAAGCTAGTCTCAAACCCCTGACCTCAAGGGATCCTCTGCCCACCTCAGCCTCCTAAAGTGCTGGGATTACAGGCCTGAGCCACTGCGTATGGCCGCCAACTACTTTTTGAATGAAGAAATCACCATTATTAGAGTAATAAGGATTAAGAAATAAATTTTACCTAGAACTACAGCAATGACAGTCGTACAGAAATAATACACAACAGCACGTAGACCAATTTTTCCAGATATATTGGAATCCAGTGCAGCAACACCTGAAGCGGGAGACAGAAATGAAATCACATTAATTTTAAAAGACAGGTTTCCAGGACGGGCGATTTAATCCTCAAGGTGTGAAATAAAGAGCTGAGGGATGTTCTCTGCATCTACCAGACAATGGGCAACAACAGGCAATGGGCAAAGGCAACACTTGAAAATTTCAAAAAAAGTTAAGAGAGGAAAGCCCAGTGAGGTGCAAGTCCCTCTGCAGGCAGCTTCCCGCAGCCTTAGCCTACAGGAGAGCCCTGCCTTCAGATCTTCCTGGAGTTGGTCAGGAAATAGTCATAAGGAGACCCCCTTTTGCATTTGCGCTAAGAACCTTACCAAGATTTGTATTATGTCATTCAGCATCCCTTATGGTAAACCTCTTTTGAAATTAGTTATCAAGGAAAAGTTTATCTTGAAGAACTGAGACAGTTTTTTTTTGTTGTTGTTGTTGTTGTCTTGAGACAGAGTCTTACTCTGTTGCCCAGTCTGGAGTGCAGTGACGTGATCTCGGCTCACTGCAACCTCTGCCTCCCAGGTTCAAGCAGTTCTCCTGCCTCAGCTTCCTGAATAGCTGGGATTACAGGCGTGCGCCACCACACCTGGCTAATTTTTGTATTTTTTGTAGAGATGAGGTTTCACCATGTTGGCTAGGCTTGTCTTGAACTCCTGACTTCAGGTGATCTAACACCTCAGCCTCCCAAATTGCTGGGATTACAGGTGTAAGCCATCATGCCTGGCTTGAGAGAGTTTTGTTTTTTTTTAAACACTTAATGAGAATCATGTAACTCATAATAGTTTTCCTTTCTGGCTTTTCTGTCAGGAAGCTCAGGTGCAACTGAAAAAATAATGTTTATATACGATTGTAAAGGTAATATATATTCATTACAACTATCTGAAAATAGGAGAAAAGGTAAAGATGAAAACAAAAATCACATCATTTCAACCACCAACTTAATATTCTGGTGAATTTTCTTTTAATATTTTTCTCAATTTTTTGTAAATAGCTGAGAGGATTTTATATTTTTTAACCTTCTCGCTTCTTAATATTGTAGTTGTAAGCATTTTCCCTCATTGATACAAACCCTGGCTCAATAATCTGTCATGTGGCTGTACCAGAATGTATTTAATGATACACTTACTGCTGGATCTTGAAATGATCCCGGGGCCAAATTCACAGTAATGTCATTAAGCATTCTGGCTAGCGTGTTTCCTTCCTCTTTTCATGATTTTCAAATTGCTTCTACGTGAAAAACCTTCTTATGTATAGCTTTTATTGTGAGACATCTTAAAATTTCCATTTGAAAGAGGAAGGATATAAATAAATAATTTCCCAGAACACAGGTAATGTCAGAGACTTACGATCAGATTATTAGATCTTGCTTCAAACGGTCCTTGGCTACCAATAAGGTGACTAAGTGTTGCCCACATTTGAAAGAGCTGTCTGAAATGTCAAGAACAGCTGGATTTGAGGTGGAAGGCAGGCATCCCTCTTTGCCAGAAACCCTTGCTCTCTATCAAAGATGCTCATATAAATGGAGTCAAATGCCACTCTTCAACTGGACTTGGACATGGGAAATGGGCCAAGTTGAGAAGCAACTGAATCATCCTTCAGCAAGCTGTTTTTGGAGGTTTCAGACACTACCCAGCCTGATTTCCAAAATGACGGTAATATTTTGAGTCAAAGGATCATCACAGAAAATTATTTTTGCATCTTCAACACACATAAGTTGTCCCATAACCATTTGCAAAGCCTAAAAGTACAGGGTAGCAGGAAAAAGGAAGAGGTGGTCAGAAGGCAACCCCGAGGGAAAGGGTAAACCTGTATGCCTATCAGCGTGCACACGTCGCTTTTTTATTCATTTCCCACATTATTCAAGGCATAGCCATTTTTTTTAAGTAACTAGGGATTATGCTTCTCGTATATAATCATACATATTTGACGTACAGGAAAAAAATCTGCAAGGAAGTGATCATCATTATGATGACAGAACAAGTCACTTCTCACTCTAAACACACCATTTCTCTGGCTGTTGATTGCTCCTTTGGAAGTTAATATTTTGAGAGAAGGTACTCTGGCAGCTACCCCAGGATGTTGTTAAGGGGCCATTTGCCAACTTCCGGGAAAAAATTGTGCAATTGCCGTATAATGGGCATACTGCAATAGTCACATTCTAGAATAACCTTGATGATGGATTCTATTCATTTTGAGAAAAATGCAGTTTGCTGTGCTGAAGAGACTTTCTTTTCTTCACAGTAAAACAATTAAAAATGACAATCAGGCAAGGAACAACAGCAACAACAAAAAATTCAAGAGGGATCGAAGGCCAAAATTCAGAAACAAATTCACTATCTCATATTTAGTTTAGGTCTCTTAAAGAAAGAGCAAATCATTATGCAAGTATGTAAGCTTGCTAAGTATATTATATAATTTAAAATATATGCCTATTTCACTTTAGAGCTCAGTACATTATTTTGATAACTATAATAATTATTTCTAACAATAATCATAGGTTAAAAAGAAACAAAAAAAATCACCTTAACAGACTCCAAGTAACTCACATAACTACCTGTAACCCTAACATGGGATCTATTTCCAGATATAACATCTTTCTTTGGTAGATGGCCAATTTAGGCAGATTCCAGCCCCTAAAGCACGGTCAAGTGAGAGTCACAGAGTGGGTACAGAACTGTTCTCGGGTATGTGTTTGGTGCCCTCTCAGGATTTTCTTCCAGCAGTGAAACAAACTAAATCTATATGGGTAATTGTTTCCAGCATACGCTAATATATCTTAATTTGTCCTAATGATTTGGCCATGGGCTGGTGCCTCTGCTTGTATTCCAGGACTCAGCTGGCAATAAAAGGCTTGATAATAATGAGCTCCTTGGTGGAAATACCTTAAATAGTACATCCCCAAGTAGTCATCCAATTTCCCCTCTGTCCTGGAGTACAGCAACTATCCTGTAATAACTTTCAGCAAGGGCCTTCGTTTCCCATTCCTCTAATCTGCCTCCATCCTATCATTTTCCTGGATATATCGGAAATGTACTCAAATCAACAATTATACTTCTCTACACTGTATAGTTACCCCTCTTCCTCTCTAGTCATCACTGACGGGGGCAGAGCTGGCCCCCCAAATCCAGGCTTTTAGATGATTTATTGCATTGTTGGGGATAAGGGTGGTGACCACTGTAGAGGGAGAGGAGAAATACAGGGCAACAGCCGAATCTTTGAAAACCTCTATAAATAGGAACATTACAGAACTTAATGACCATAAAATGTCTGTGTGGATGGTTATAAACACCCCACCTGCCAATAATGTCAATAATGATGAGAATGATCATTATAATACAAATAACGATAATGATCACAACAGACACCATATTGAGCAATGACTACATGTTAATGCATCATCTTTAATTCTCATTGTAACCCAAGGAGGCTGGCATTATTACCCCTGTTTTACAGAGGACAAAACTGTAGCTCAGAAAGTCTAAGTACCATACGATCATAGAGCTGGTGAGGTGAGTGGATTGCTGGGATCCCAATCTACGTTTGACCTCAAAGGCCATATTCTCAACCACTGTTCCATATTGGCTGTATCCATGTGCTACAAAATTCTAGACCAGCGTTGTCCAGTAGAGCTTCCTGATGATAGAAATGTTCTATTTTTATGCTGTCCCCTGCAGTAGCCACAAAGTACACATGGCTAGCAAGCACTTGGAAAGTGGCTAGTGTGACTGAGTTTTCATTTTAATTAATCTCTCCTGAGCTCAAGTGATCCTCCCACCTTGACCTCCCAAAGTGCTAGGATTATAGATGTGAGTCACCATACCTGGCCAATTTTAATTAATCTCAATTTAAATAGCCACACATGGCTAATGGCTATCATATTGGACTGCCCAATCTCTCTAGACCCTACCAGTGTTTCATGTTTCATGGGTGCTCAACATGTTGAGTGAACCAACTATAGCTTAACTCCATTACCAAATTCGGGAAAAGCTCTTTGCCTTGCAAACATGGGCAGGGGAAAGGAAGACACTAAGCCCAAATCTCCTGGCACGTAGTTCCATCACTGCGCTGACCATATTGCTCTAAGGCCTGAAGCTTATTCTTAACTGGGTCCCCAGTGCATTAAATAAGGTTCCCCATGAATGTTTGTACTAGAAGCTTTCCACATGACAGAAAGAGCTGCATTTTTACAAGTAATCCTTCCCTTACAAATGACTGTACTTCAAAGATCCACTTGTGCGTTCGAAACTTGGAACTCAGCATGTAGTCTCCTTAGAAACCACTTGTACATGGTGGTTTAGTTTGGCTCCCAGGGCAGCCAAGGAGAACACTTTTCAGCCATAAAAGACTTCATGAGAACATATGTAGCATCTCAGTGTTTTTCAACCTTGTTTGTTGTCATTATTGTTGTGCAAACCCCACCCCTCCATGCCTTTTTCCTAATCGCCACCCCTGTGAAATTCGAAAACCACAAACTATATCTGGTTATACAGTAGATGATACATGTGTTGTTGTTGTTACATAAAAAGAGTAAGATTTTCTCCCCGAACCCACCACCACCAAATAAAAACAGCTTTTGTTGCTTTGGAGACGATATTGTCTTGGTGAGAACTGGTGCTCTAGCTCAATGAATGTTGACTGTGAGAATGATAATCCAGGCATTAGACTATAACTGTTGGGACGTCAGACAGCTGGCCCACCCTAGTCCCAAACAAGTAAACCATTTGTGCTTTATTTCTGAGTTTTTACTCTCAATGGCCACCTGGGTTTCTTGCTCTCAGACCATCTTTGGTGGCTGGCAAGGCCTCGAAGACCCCCTCTCTTTACAGTTCACTATCAGAACTCGTTTCTCCAGGGAGCTGAAAGCTGTCCTATGGGAGGTGATAATGACAGGAAACTAAGCAGGTGTGATAGCATCTGCACAAAAATCAACAGTGAGTATTTAAAATGTTTATAGTAATTGGACAGTAACTATTTCTGTTGAAGGTAATAATAAAA